CTCCCTCCTCCTTGTCTTCTCCTCTACCTTGTTCTGCTTGCTCTTCAGCCAAGTCACGGCAACATGGAAAACGCTGCAGCTCGAGCCCTCACTGACCCAACTCTGCACATGCTGCTTGAGGGCCTCTAAGGTGGGGAAGACCCTGCAGCCGGCCATGCACCTGAAGCCACTTTCTGGGGCCACCAGCCATTCGGGCGTCTTGGCCCTGGAACATCCCTCTAGAGGTGGAAGCTCTGTTGGACTCTCCGCCTCCTGCCTTTCCTCCTGGGCTTCGTTGTTCCAGCTGGAGTCACCGTCAGTCAGGAGTTCTGGATACGTGCAAGAGAGGCCAGGTTTTGTAGAGCTTATTTCAGAAATGGTCACTTCTTCCATTTTTGTCTTCTTTGAGGCAGGCTCCAGTCCGTTCTCTCCCTCACACAGGACAGCCACCCCCCTTCTCCGGGGGGCAGCAGGTAGTCCTATTTTCACGAGCCTCTCTCCTTTTGGGTGTGGTGAGCACAAGGAGGGTTTAGTATTACCGATGGGATGGAATGGGATGGACGAGGCTGGTTGAAAGCGGGGAGAACGCTCCAACTTCTCCAGGAATCCCAGGCAACTATCATCTTGATGGCTTTGAAGTCTTTCTAGGCAAGAACATTCCAAACATAGGTGGCATGAGTATGTGATGTCGGGAGGAATGAACATGGCCACAAGACCATTGCTATGTGGACGCGGGGAGCACAAGCATATACACATGTGATATTCAGAATGTGGGCAGTGGTATGTTTTAGTTGAGGTGTGCACCTGGTGTCCCTGGGAAGATGAGGGTGGAGGGTGTCTCCTGGAGTTGTATGTGGGTTGGGGGCCATCTCCGGTGAGTGTTTTCCACACTGGTCAAAGGCAATGGCGGCTGAATGTGTGCATGTGTGTTCCACAGTGCGACGGTACATGTGAACAAGTAGGGGAGCATTGCCAGTTATTGCTGTTGAGTCAATATGAGTCAATATAAGGAAATGGGTCAGGGTGGCCTGGGTTCCCTGCAAGGACTCTGAACATTCGGCTAGCTAGTTTCTTATCAAGTGAGCCCTCAGAGGGCTAGCCCACCCCCAAAGATGGCCAGTTAATTTCATAGAATGTTCGGAGGTTTTCAGCAGTTAATTTTACACCATAATTTCCTGAATATCCCTTCTTGAAAATCCTCAACCTACACTCTAGGGGAGTTGGTTTACACTGCTTTCCACCCATTTCCTCCTCCTAACAGTTGACTTTTACGCCTAAGAAGGGGAAAACCAGGGAAGGAGGGGGACCAGTTTGGACAGGACGCTCCCCCACTTTGTCCGTTTCCGGCCGCTCTCCTCTCGGAGATATTTCAGGCTCCTCTTAGCATTGGCGGGTTTAGTGTCAATCCCTGTCCTGGATCAGACTCCCCCGAGGAAGCCTGAGGCCGCCGTAAGCCATATGAGGTCACCACGGAATCTCAGGTCGGGACTCAACACTCGCATCGGCCCTTGGTCAGGTCGGAACCTTCCCGTTGTTCGTCTTAGTCACACATACTCACACAACGACTCCAGCCCACCGCCATGCAGCCAGTGCCTTCGAGTTGCAGATTCGTGCCTCTTTCCTCGTGGAGTTACTAGTGCAGCTCTGGGAGGTGATCAGGCTCTCCTTCTGCCTCTTAGGGGCAGGTCCACCCAAGCGAACCTGGGTTCTTACCAGTCAGATGGGCGGCGCTCCTTAAGGTGGTTCCTGGGCCTCGAGTTCCGTTAGTGCACACAGGGCCCTCCCCCCGCCTCAGCGGGACAGGCTCGTCCCTTACGGATCAAGACGTCCGCTGGCGCCAGGGGAGGTCGCTTTTTTTGGCGCTCCGAGGCTCATACCCTGGTGGCAAGGGAGGTGGCAAGGCACTGTCTCCGAATCCCGGACGAGCCCCCAGGCAATGTTGCACGATTCTCGCTCAGAGAGTCATGGCACCGAGGCTTTTCTTTTGAGGAAACAACTTTATTTGTATGGCACCGCTCAGTTGCCTTCGTTCCCAAAAGAACTGAGCGGCCCACATCACAAGGCATAGTTGTTTTTTTTTTTTTTCCCCATCCATTTTCCATTTCTTTGTCTCCCATATATGGTAACACACATAAACATGTAGTCTGATTAAGTTGTTTCAGTTTACAAGAACATGGGGGATGTTGGCACTTGGACCTAGGTGACTTTGGTCCTAGTTGACCTTGATGTCTTCTCTCCTCTCTTCTTTATTTGTTTCTTTTTCTTTAGAGAGGGGTTCCTACCACAGTGTGACCCGCTTCTTCTTCTCCCTTCTGGGGAGAACAGTGGGTATAACGGAAAATGGCTCTCTGTTCCTCCTCGTGGTGTGGTGACAGTGGTGGGGACAGGGTGGGTGTCATTAAAACTACCTTGGTTACTAGGGTTGTTTAGACACAATAAAGCCCCCTCAGCAGATTGTGTTCTACTCTTCTTGCTCCCTTGTAGGGGCTGAAAAATAATCTCTGTATTTGCATGAAGATTTCTTCACGCCAAAATGCTTCATCTTCTGGCACCTGTGCGTCATCTTCCTGCCTTCCTTCTCCTCCCTCTTCCGCGTCATCTTCTCTACCTTGTTCTGCTTGCTCTTCAGCCAAGTCACGGCAATATGGAAAACGTGGCAGCTAAAGCCCTCACTGACCCCATCCTGCCCGTGCTGCTTGAGGGCCTTTAAGGTGGGGAAGACCCGGCAGCCGGCCATGCACCTGAAGCCACTTTCTGGGGCCACCAGCCATTCGGGGTCTTGGCCCTGGAACATCCCTCTAGAGGTGGAAGCTCTGTTGGACTCTCTGCCTCCTGCCTTTCCTCCTGGGCTTCGTTGTTCCAGCTGGAGTCACCGTCAGTCAGGAGTTCTTCTGGACACGTACAAGAGAGGCCGGGTTTTGTAGAGCTTATTTCAGAAATGGTCACTTCTTCCATTTTTGTCTTCTTTGAGGCAGGCTCCAGTCCGTTCTCTCCCTCACACAGGACAGCCACCCCCCTTCTCCGGGGGGCAGCAGGTAGTCCTATTTTCACGAGCCTCTCTCCTTTTGGGTGTGGTGAGCACAAGGAGGGTTTAGTATTACCGATGGGATGGAATGGGATGGACGAGGCTGGTTGAAAGCGGGGAGAACGCTCCAACTTCTCCAGGAATCCCAGGCAACTATCATCTTGATGGCTTTGAAGTCTTTCTAGGCAAGAACATTCCAAACATAGGTGGCATGAGTATGTGATGTCGGGAGGAATGAACATGGCCACAAGACCATTGCTATGTGGACGCGGGGAGCACAAGCATATACACATGTGATATTCAGAATGTGGGCAGTGGTATGTTTTAGTTGAGGTGTGCACCTGGTGTCCCTGGGAAGATGAGGGTGGAGGGTGTCTCCTGGAGTTGTATGTGGGTTGGGGGCCATCTCCGGTGAGTGTTTTCCACACTGGTCAAAGGCAATGGCGGCTGAATGTGTGCATGTGTGTTCCACAGTGCGACGGTACATGTGAACAAGTAGGGGAGCATTGCCAGTTATTGCTGTTGAGTCAATATGAGTCAATATAAGGAAATGGGTCAGGGTGGCCTGGGTTCCCTGCAAGGACTCTGAACATTCGGCTAGCTAGTTTCTTATCAAGTGAGCCCTCAGAGGGCTAGCCCACCCCCAAAGATGGCCAGTTAATTTCATAGAATGTTCGGAGGTTTTCAGCAGTTAATTTTACACCATAATTTCCTGAATATCCCTTCTTGAAAATCCTCAACCTACACTCTAGGGGAGTTGGTTTACACTGCTTTCCACCCATTTCCTCCTCCTAACAGTTGACTTTTACGCCTAAGAAGGGGAAAACCAGGGAAGGAGGGGGACCAGTTTGGACAGGACGCTCCCCCACTTTGTCCGTTTCCGGCCGCTCTCCTCTCGGAGATATTTCAGGCTCCTCTTAGCATTGGCGGGTTTAGTGTCAATCCCTGTCCTGGATCAGACTCCCCCGAGGAAGCCTGAGGCCGCCGTAAGCCATATGAGGTCACCACGGAATCTCAGGTCGGGACTCAACACTCGCATCGGCCCTTGGTCAGGTCGGAACCTTCCCGTTGTTCGTCTTAGTCACACATACTCACACAACGACTCCAGCCCACCGCCATGCAGCCAGTGCCTTCGAGTTGCAGATTCGTGCCTCTTTCCTCGTGGAGTTACTAGTGCAGCTCTGGGAGGTGATCAGGCTCTCCTTCTGCCTCTTAGGGGCAGGTCCACCCAAGCGAACCTGGGTTCTTACCAGTCAGATGGGCGGCGCTCCTTAAGGTGGTTCCTGGGCCTCGAGTTCCATTAGTGCACACAGGGCCCTCCCCCCGCCTCAGCGGGACAGGCTCGTCCCTTACGGATCAAGACGTCCGCTGGCGCCAGGGGAGGTCGCTTTTTTTGGCGCTCCGAGGCTCATACCCTGGTGGCAAGGGAGGTGGCAAGGCACTGTCTCCGAATCCCGGACGAGCCCCCAGGCAATGTTGCAGGATTCTCGCTCAGAGAGTCATGGCACCGAGGCTTTTCTTTTGAGGAAACAACTTTATTTGTATGGCACCGCTCAGTTGCCTTCGTTCCCAAAAGAACTGAGCGGCCCACATCACAAGGCATAGTTGTTTTTTTTTTTTCCCCATCCATTTTCCATTTCTTTGTCTCCCATATATGGTAACACACATAAACATGTAGTCTGATTAAGTTGTTTCAGTTTACAAGAACATGGGGGATGTTGGCACTTGGACCTAGGTGACCTTGGTCCTAGGTGACCTTGAAGTCTTCTCTCCTCTCTTCTTTATTTGTTTCTTTTTCTTTAGAGAGGGGTTCCTACCACAGTGTGACCCGCTTCTTCTTCTCCCTTCTGGGGAGAACAGTGGGTATAACGGAAAATGGCTCTCTGTTCCTCCTCGTGGTGTGGTGACAGTGGTGGGGACAGGGTGGGTGTCATTAAAACTACCTTGGTTACTAGGGTTGTTTAGACACAATAAAGCCCCCTCAGCAGAATGTGTTCTACTCTTCTTGCTCCCTTGTAGGGGCTGAAAAATAATCTCTGTATTTGCATGAAGATTTCTTCACGCCAAAATGCTTCATCTTCTGGCACCTGTGCGTCATCTTCCTGCCTTCCTTCTCCTCCCTCTTCCGCGTCATCTTCTCTACCTTGTTCTGCTTGCTCTTCAGCCAAGTCACGGCAACATGGAAAACGTGGCAGCTAAAGCCCTCACTGACCCCATCCTGCCCGTGCTGCTTGAGGGCCTTTAAGGTGGGGAAGACCCGGCAGCCGGCCATGCACCTGAAGCCACTTTCTGGGGCCACCAGCCATTCGGGCGTCTTGGCCCTGGAACATCCCTCTAGAGGTGGAAGCTCTGTTGGACTCTCCGCCTCCTGCCTTTCCTCCTGGGCTTCGTTGTTCCAGCTGGAGTCACCGTCAGTCAGGAGTTCTTCTGGATACGTACAAGAGAGGCCGGGTTTTATAGAGCTTATTTCAGAAATGGTCAGTTCTTCCATTTTTGTCTTCTTTGAGGCAGGCTCCAGTCCGTTCTCTCCCTCATACAGGACAGGCACCACCCTTTTCCGGGGGACACGCATGTAGTCTATTTTCACGAGCCTCTCTCCTTTTGGGTGTTCTGAGCACAAAGAGGGTTTAGTATTACCGATGGGATGGAATCGGAAAGAGGCTGTTTGAAAGGGGGGCGAACTCTCCAACTTCTCGAGGAATCCCAGGCAACTATCATCTTGATTGCATTGAAGTCTTTCTAGGCAAGAACATTCCAAACATAGGTAGCATGAGTATGTGATGTCGGGAGGACTTAAGATGGCCACAAGACCATTGCTATGTGGACGCGGGGAGCACAAGCATATACACATGTGATATTCAGAATGTGGGCAGTGGTATGTTTTAGTTGAGGTGTGCACCTGGTGTCCCTGGGAAGATGAGGGTGTAGCGCGTCTAGTGGAGTTGTGTGTGGGTTGGGGGCCATCTCCGGTGAGTGTTTTCCACACTGGTCAAAGGCAATGGCAGCTGAATGTGTGCATGTGTGTTCCACGGTGCGACGGTACATGTGAACAATTAGGGGAGCATTGCCTGTTCTTGTTGTTGTGTCAATACGACGTCAATTGTTAGCAGAAGTGAACTAGGCTCTCATTATGTGTGGCTCCGGGAGGCGTTGACTTCCTTGTGGGTCAAGTGGCATCAGGAATATAAAGGCAGTATATGAAAGTGTATCCCCTTAATGGTCTATGAATTTCCTGCAGTTTGCGTTAGGGGGTTCAAACATGTTGTCTGTGTGAGGGGACATAAATTACTTACGAGATTAGTGTGTTAAGTGGGTGAGTCTTTGTGAAGGAATGAAGGTACCGGTGTGTACCTACACCATGCTACTAGAACACAGGAATGTTAATGAGGACTGAAGGCAGTACGTTTGGCAGAAAAAGTACAAGGAAAGAGAGAAGGGACCACACCTGGCGGGAAGGGTTACAGATGAGGCCGTGTGTGTGAAGATACGAGCTCTTGCTCATCTGAGCTGGAATGTTCTGATGAAATCCACACAGCAGGAACTGCTCTATGTGACCCAAAGATGTCCCTGTGTTCTTATGGGGAGCTGTGTCTTATCTCTCAGTCTTCTGTTCCTCTACAGGGTCTTCAGTCCAATGCCTCCACCCTGAAACCTTTTTCTGCATTTAAGGGGAGAGTAAAATAAGTAGTGGTTGGGCCAAGCATCTCAGCTATACTTCCTGTCTGTACTCAGGCCCCATCTGTTTGTTTTCTTTACCTTCCCCATTAGCAGGAATGAGCGTGTTTGCAGAGGAGATAGAGGAAAATAATTCTGCAGCAGAGGACTTTTCTTCCACTGCATGGCGGCAACCAGGGACCACCGCACATGACTCAGGAGGAGGCAAATCCTTTTGATCTTTCCTGTCTTCTGGGGAATGAAATAAATACAAATACACACACACACACACACACACACACACACACACACACACACACACACAACCCAACACAGTGAGATGGCATTTTCTGGGGTCCTAAAACCAAACCAAACCAAACACTGAGATGTGGCATTTTCCAGAGTTAGTCAGTTCACAAGACACAGACTTAGTGGACATTATAAGTCACACATCATTACCAAACATGAGACGTGCTCTCAAAAAAATGAAGGTGGCTTTCTCGTTGGAAACTCGACAACTTTAAGGGGAATTGACCTTTAAAAATTTCATTTACTCTAAATAGAAGTCAATGATAATGATTAAAATTGTGTTTATGGTGGATGACCATGATATTGAGTACCTCGTATGTGATATTTCTGGAGATGTGTAGACAGTACTGACACTGAGTAAGAACCATGCCTGGAAATAGTATGCAGTCACTAAAGTTGGATATTATTTGCTTGATTTTCTTCATGCGAAATTGTGTACTTAGGGAATGTGGGGTCCAAATTATATGAACACCTCTGCATCCATATCTATCTACTCTCATATGGATAGCTTTCTATCTACACACACACATACACACACACACACACACACACACATACACACACACACATACACACGGTGAGGATTGATGGATGGATGAATGGATGGACGCATGGATGGATGGATGGGTATATAGACAGACAGACAGATAGATAGACAGACAGACACAGACAGATACTGTTTAGATATAGATAAAATCTATTTTCACGATTCCCTGGGAACCCCGGTGCTAGAGATGGTCAAATTAAGACTTCACAGACTCTTCTTTAAATATACTTCTACATTTCTCTTAGATTTGTAATCTTCCCATTCAGATCCTTTAAGAGCTTCTACCAAAGAAAACAGGGATGCTGACATAGTATATTGTTGCCCCTAACAAGAAACAGAGACCCTGGGCAGTCCTTGCGAGAGGGGTCGTTCATGGCCATTGCTGAGAAAAGGAGCTCAATCCCAATTTTTGGCTAACATGCTGCCTCACCACCATGACTGAATCCCCCTCATCCCCTACTCTCCCCCACCACTTACTGTTGTGAATAAGCTTGTCTGGAGAAGAGACACAGATGTCTTTGGAGCCTGAATCCTCTTCCATCTGCTTGTGGAATTGGACCAATTTAGAGGGTCCAGATCATGACGAGCCTTCATGTGATTTTAAGACTTCTGGGAAAGAGAAGGAAAATCAGGTATTTTTTGCCTTCACTAAACACTCAAGAGATACCACGTAGAATCTTATGGCACTTATCTTCACGACGATTCTCATCTAGTTTCTGTTCAAAGTCTTAAAATTGAGGTCTATGAAAACATTTGTTGGAATGAAGTATCTGATTACCTGTGAGAGCCCTATGTTGTTTTCTGCATGTATCTGAGCACCAGTTCTTCCCTAGTACACGAGAAGGTGCCCATGTTATTTGTTATTGTTCCTCTGTTTACCACAAAAATGAATTTGGAAGATGTGTGTCGGTAAAGTGGTTCAGTGTGCCAGTTGTGGTTTACGATTGTGAGTCCTGCTGCTTCCTGGCAGGTTTAGAATTGACAGGAAAGAACTGACTGACTTCCACTGCTGGTCCTTAGTCTTCCCTTCCAGATACCGGCTCCCGTGGGTCCTCACTTGAGGGCCCTGCTGTGTAGCTGTGCCGGACATGGACACTCCAGGAGGAACCCCAAGGTGGACTTCACACCCCACCTCTCAATGATGGACACAGCTCCCCTGACCGCTAAATGGCTCAGCTCTCTTTTGGTCCTGTCGTTGGTGTCACTTTTCCCACATGCCCCACACATTGTTCTGATCACCTGTGGCATCTACTCTTACCAAACTCATAGCCTACCTTAAAACCTTCCCAATTTACAGGTGAGTTCTAGGTTGTTGGTTATTTTCCTGCTAAAATATGCTTATTTCTTGGATCACCTCTACCTCTACCATGATTTCAAGATACCACGGAAATCACCAGTTAGTTTTCCTTCCTCCCACATTTCCATTGGACTTTCAGTAAATAAATTGGTAAATTTTTGTTCCTGATAAAATCACTCAATATTAAGTCTCTTCTCATGTTTAAAAACTGCAGTTAGGCCTTGACACCAATTTTTTCTTCACAAAGTACATCCACTTTTTCTCTTGGGTGACTGGAGTGTCTGGTAGGTCATGTTGGTGTAAGGATGGGACACGTCAGAGGAGGTGGTATATTTTTCAGAGAGCTAGTATGTGTACCAGGTTTGATGAGCACAGTCCTATGTGTGTATGTGTCTGTCACATTTCTTCAACAATTTTATGTATAGGGTGTAGAGGTGACACAGCCATTGTATGTGAAGGTAGCGTGTGATGTGTTGGGTGAAATGCAGCATAATTCTGGCTTTGTGCCACCAGTACATCTTCTCTGTATCATGAGTGATCTGTGTTTCATATACTATTGAAGTTTAAGTAGTTACATAATTTCTAGTTGGTTTATGAGGGACTAGATGAACCTGGTGATTTTGTGAGATCTGCTGAGACCATGAAAGTGATGGAAACTGACCATGTTATGGAGAGACTGGAGACCTCCTATGAGCTCCTAGATTGTGCAACTGCATGAGGGACCTGAGGGAGTAGGAACAGAGGAGGTTTAGAAGATGGCATATGATTGTGTTGGCTTCGTGCATTCTTAATGTGAAATACAAAGTTCTACAAGAGTGACATGATCTGTGTGAGTTAGCGATTACAGTATCTAAGGAATGAGGTTAGAGAATGCAAATGTGAAGAATACAAATGCCTCACAATGAGACGTGAAGGTTTAGTATGTGAGGATCAGAGCTTAGCAGTGTGTCTGGGAGTGTAAGGAACTGGGAGCAGAGAATGGGGAATGAAGGGAGGAGTGTTAATAAGTGTACATGTGAGGACACACTTTGATGAGTCTCGTTGGGGGTGGGATGGAATAAAGACTCCTGTGTGGTTTTGAGGGTAGGAGGTTGTTGGAGATAAAACCTAAGGATCCTTTTCAGATCGCTGTCCCTTCTTCCCCCATTAGAGGACATATATTGAGGAGCTGATGCCTCTCTTAAAGTAAAAAGTGAAATCTACTGGTTCCTCCTTAGATACGCTATCTGGTCCTTGCTGGTCCATTTCACACTGGTTGTCAGACCTCTGCCCACATTATGACCAACTGAGCTCATCTTCCCAGGATCAGACTGAATTTGTCTTGCCACTTCTCAGAGAGCTGTGACACTTCCTTAGCCTCCATCTTTGTAAACATGGTCCTGGTTCTGATATCCTTGTACTTTCAGCTACTTGTCCTTTTAGAGACTTCCCTCGAATCTCATGGTTTATCTTACATGGCTGAAATGAATATCTTCCTGAGGGGAAAGAGAACTTGCATCCTTGCCGTAGTCTGGACATGGACTCGGATCAGATTATATCTCTCATCTCTCCGTTTGTAGACAGCAAATGCCATGCTTACTTCCTTTGTCACTCCCTACTTTCAGTTCAGACATCTATACTTAATATATGATTGATTTCGTGTTTTTGAATCTGAATATGGGGTGAATTTTGTTTGAGTGAGAATGGTAGGTATGCTTTGTGTCTGTTTCAGTTCTGCTAATACCCATGTATGTAGACTGCATGTCCCATGATTACAGATTTGAGTGTGTATATGTTGTTATGATTTAGGTGTCCAACGTAATTATTAGGATTATTCTCCTTAAAACGGGCACCCTCCTACACTGTTGGTGGGAATGTAAACTGGTGCAGCCCCTCTGGAAAAGTGTGGAAGTTCCTCAGGAAACTAACAATAGAACCCCCCTATGACCCAGCAGTAGCACTGCTAGGAATTTACCCAAGGGATACAGAAATGCTGATGCATAGGAGCACATGTACCCCAATGTTCATAGCAGCACTCTCAAGAATAGCTAAAACATGCAAAGAGCCTAAGTGTCCATCAATGGACGAATGGATCAAGAAGATGTGGTTTATCTATACCATGGAATCCTACATGGCAATGAGAAACAATGTAATCTGGCCATGTGTAGCAACATGGATGGACTTTGAGGGTGTTATGCTTAGCGAAATAAGTCAGGCAGAGAAGGACAAATATCACATGTTTGCACGTATAGGACGATTAGGAGGAACTTAACTGAGGACCATGGGGGAGAAGAAGGGGGAAATGGTGGGGGAAAGGGAGAGAGGAAAACCATGAGAGACTCTTGAATGCTGAGAAACAAATTGAGGACTGATGGATGTTGGGGGGAGGGGTGATGGGCATGGAGGAGGGCACTTGTGGGGATGAGCACTGGGTGTTATATGGAAACCAATTTGACAATAAACTATTTGTAAAATAAAAAAAGGAATATTCTCCTTAAGACTAACAGAATTAGTGTATTTGTGAAATCTAAGGAAAAGCATTGGAGGTTGTAACAATAAAAAATTGTAAGAGAAAGTATATATTAGCCTCGAGATCCAAAGCAAACGGAGGTACAGCCCGGATGTGAAAGGGTAAGTGTACAGTGACATGTGACTGCTTTAGAAAATACAGGTATAAAATACTGAGGTCTAAGGGATGAAGATAAACTCTGAAAACTACTACCTAGCAATTTAACTCAAGCATGTGCCAAACAGAAATAATTCCAGATAGCAAAATACATGCAATAGAATATCTAGAACATCACTTTTTAGAGTAGCCCCATATTAAAAGCAACCCAATTACTCGGAAATGTATAATCAATAAAGAAATTATTTACATTCATAAAATCTGTGTGCATAAAATAAACTACACACAGAACATAGATTAACCTCACAAATAGAATGATGATTGATTATAATTAGACACAGACTACAAATTGTGCACTATTTACATGAAATTTTAAAAAAAACAGTGATAACTAATCTAGGGTTTTAGAAGTCAGAGAAAATATCACTGCTTGTATGGTAGGGATAAAATATGGCATAGAGAATTTACATGCATGTGGAAAATTATAAGGAAATGAATGATGAGGGTAAAGAGGGATAAGTGTGAGCACACTGACTAGAACTATACAAGAAAGGGATGGGTCTTGGGCTAGATGTATTTGAACTCTACCTCAAGTCCAGATTTCGACTTGATCCTCCTTCTTTTGGCCTGTTTCAAGCTATGAGTAATTTCCTACCTTCCTGGTAACAAAAATGCTTTTGCAGGTTCATACTGACATACTCTTTCACTTTTGGCTAGTAAAATTCTCATACCCAGACACTCTCCCACACATGTTCTCAAATAAAGCACTTATCTCCACTGATCTTTTGGGGCTTATTCTAGTCCTTTTAAGTATTTTCCCTTGCAACTGATGGCTTCCACTGTTGATCATGGAAGAAGACAAAGACACATTTCGAGTTTCATTCTATACTGGGCAGCCTTGTATCAACTAATGGCAGAATCACCCAGTGTATCTCTGGCCTCTGCCTAGACCCCAATGTGTTCAATACACTCTCCATACCAGCAGCAGCGACTTTGTTTTCTGAAGACTTGCTGGAGAAGCAATCTGAAGAAGAATCTCCCCTTGCTGTCTGGTCTTGAGTTGGGGGCATTCCCTGGTGTCCATGCTGCAGAACTTACAAATTCAGGTTTGATGAGAAATTACCTAAAAATGACAGAGATGTGGTCCAGGTTTGGTATCTGTACATTTACCCATCCATTAAACAAACAAGAGGAGTCTACTACGTGACATGTTTTGTGAACAAATATGGCCTCCATTTTCATGGATAGCACAATATGGTTCATTGATTTTATTTATATCATGATTAGTGATTGGCTTTATAGAAGGGTGCTCTTTGTAAATGGAGCAGAAACTGCAAGCTGTGTCCTTTTGACCAGGACATACTACTAGATTATATTTATCAACTTCTCTTGGTGTAGTTCTGACCATGTGATGATGTTTTTGACAACGGAAATGAGTGGATATGACATGTGCCAATTCCCTAGCCAGAACCATAAAGACCTCCTCTGTGTCCCTCTGTACTCTTTCCTTTTCTAGCTGATGAGAATGTTGATAAACCAGGGTCTATTTGAAAGCTGCATGTTAATGACAGCACAGTTTCCATCAGCCAAGGAGGCCTGACCCATTCCTTCTCATATACACTGAATTATGAAAGAAGCAAGAAATAGATTCCTTTGTGTATGAGTCACAAAAGCCAAAACTACTCTAACCCGTGAAGCAGAGATGTAACGTGTTCTTCAGAGGCAAATAATTGGACCTGGCACACAGTAAGTGAACCATTTTATACTAATATCTACCTTTTGCTGGTTTATTTACATTCTACATGTGTGATATGTGAACACATGATTGTGAGTGCATGTTTTACAGCTCTCATAGTTCACACTTCATAACATCTCTCCACATCTGCTCATTTTGTTGTCGGTAGACATGCAGACAGACTCCTTTTCTATCCCTCTCTCTCCACAGACCCCCAAACACTGTTGGCAAGTGCCAAGTTCTCTTCCAGAGTAGGAGCTACCACTTGGAACTTCCGGGAAGTTCCCCTCCCCAGAACAATGATCTTCCCTCATAGAAGCTGCTTGTTTACTGTTAATCTCCGTAGTAACCAGATCTTTCAGTTTCCCATTTAAAATAAAAAACCCACAACGTTTTCCATATTTCAACAATTATGGTTAAACAGTGGTATGTGTATTCTGCCTTTTTCTTATG